AGGAGGATTTGTGCTTGACCTATTGAGTGGCAAGGACTCCCAAAGGATACCCACTAGGTGCCAGAGAAAGGCCTGGCTGAGCAGCCTGCTCCCAGGGGTTCACATCCCTCTTGGCTCAACGCGCGGCTCGTGTTTCTAGTTGGACCTCCATGCACACCTCGTTCCATCCTGACTGCGCGCCCTTACTATATACTGGCGGGTACTGGGGGTTGCAATGTGCTGTTAACCCAACTCGATTAGGGTGTACACTCCTTGAGGACATTGTGTTTTAGGCAACTTAGTATCCTTACTATCTAGTGAAAGGAAGGAAAGAAAGAAAAAGATCAGACAGGAAGGAAGGAAGGGGAGACAGGAAGGAAAGAGGGAAGGAAAGAAAATAGACGCAGGTATTTATAGAATGAATACATGCCAGGTAGTGTGCACTTTCTTATTTAATCCTTCCAACTAGTCAGTGAGCTGGATACTATTATTAATGTTTCCTAGCTTACAGATGGGGAGACATACTTAGGAGGATTAGGTAATCTGCCCAAGTAACAAGCCACCGTGAGTAAATCAGGAAGGCAACACTTGAACCAGGTTTGTCTAACTCTAGGGACTGTGCTCCCCATCTCTGAGGCTGTACTGTTACTCTGAGTAGGGGTTTGAGCACAGATTTGCTGATAACAAACCAGGAATTCATTATAAAGAAAGAGAAAGGAGAGAAAGATAGAAAGCAGGAGAAGGAAGAGGGAGGGGGAAGCCCACGAACGCGGTCCCTTCTTGCAGAGGCCATGCCTAACCTGTGACGGCATGGTTTCTGCTTACTTCCTAAACATCTCCAGGAAGGATCTGTTTGCTTCTCGGGTAATGTGTTCCAGGTTTCATTCTCCATGTGCCAAGAAACCCACAGATAGCTCTCTATGCTCATTTGCCTGTGAGAGGAGTCACGCATGCAGCTGGTTCTCACGCTGTGAACACTGAACTAGCAAATAGGGGACCATTACTTCCAGGAGAAATACAGGGCTGGGTTCCTGCAAACTTCTCATCACATTTCACCAGCCAAGAAATATGTAACTTTTAAAAATGTGTTTCTGTTTAAAGACACCTCATTTTATAGATTGTTGATTCATTAAACATTGAGCTCACGACCAGCAACACAACAACTCATGCCTGGACAAAGCTTATCTAACACATGTATTTTCTCCATAAGGCACACCAGCCTTCTTACACATAGGACACTCGACAGCACTTCAGCACTGCACTCGGGGGCTATGTTAAATAGCAAAACCACCAATGAAAAGCACAAAAATGCGAAAAATGTGGCAGTAAATAAACTGTTAAAAGGACACTTGTTTGTTATTAGCTGAAAGAGAAGGCACAGGGTCACCTGGCTCCTCTCAGCTGGAAATGTGTGTTGGGCAGCTCAACGTTGTCCCTGCTCTGCGCATGCCCACAAATGACACCGCAGTGCTGCCAGAGGTCCTCCGATTCGCTCTATGGGCCACTGGCAATATCCACACGACTCGGAGTTGATGAAACTACTGCTTTTGTAGATGACATAATTGATTCATTTTATAGTTACAAATAAATTTTGGCAAGTAGGGGAATTTGCAAATATAGAGTTCACGATTAATAAGGGTTGATTGTATAGAGCATGAAGTTCAGTCAAGTCTGAGATATGGATTTATCAGAAAGCCTGATAATATAGCTTAGGTTTGGACCTATCAGGAACCCGGTTTTCCTATGGGAAAACAGGAAAAGAACAGCAGGAGAGACGTACAGTGCATCACAAGGATTTTAGCTTTGTGTATTGAATAAAGACACCACAAGCACATCAGGCTTACAGGAAACCTCAGGTGGCTACTCAGCCATTCTACTGCTTTAGTTAGGGTTTTGTCCCAGTCTTTGGAGACTGTCAGCATCACAGATCACAGAGAAGCTTGTTGAGTCTCAATCGAATAGTTCCTCAAGTCCCAATGCCTTTGTATAGCCTTCTAGAAGCTGGAACTTGCTTAGCACTGTGTCTCTGTGTATGGAGGAAACTCAGCAAACACTTGTTTACTAAGCGGGGTTCTCAGGGTCAATCTGCTACTATGTTGTCCTTCTCGCTGCCCTTCCTTTGTAATGTCCTCTCATATAAAATATTTCTGTCTAAAGTTGCGGTTCCCAGCTTGGCGTTCCTGGAATTAGTGGTCCTTAAAGGTGTCTTAAATGTTATTGAGATATTTTAAAAATCTTTCCAGAAATACATTTCACTAGGGTGAGACCTCACAGGTTACATAAAATGGCAAGGATTTGTTTTTGTAAATTTGCCTGGAATCATACAAGGATAATTGCATGTGACACTATGTATCACTCGCTAATACTGTCTATCACTCAGCTCCACAGGCATGTCTGTGATGCACAAACACACAGTACTGCTCAAATGATTTCAACTGTATACTCAGTACAAGTTTTCAGGGAAACATGGGGAAAATAATGGCAGTAATTCTTCGGTGGTTACAGGATATAAAATCATTGATCTAAATGGTTCTGAGAATACATTTTGTGTAAGTAGGTGTTGTAAAATATTTGTTATTTCAAAATTATGATAATGATTTTTACACTGCTATAACTTCTTTTGAGCAAAGCAGTCCAATTTCATCTAATTGGGAAAACTAAATGAGAGAAAAGCAATCATTTTCACCTATAAACTGAAAAATCGCGCTGAAGATCCACTCTTTAATCTTTGTCCGTCCTCTCAACACAGCTCTGCTCCTTCTCCTTAAGGCCTCTAGAACAGGAATGTTTCTGTAAATCCCTTTCCTTTACGGAACATTTTTTTCTTGTTGTGAGAATTAGCCAGGATCCAGCTGAAGTGACACTAATGATAGTGTGTCCCGTGCCAGCACGAGGTCTGCCAACTCCCAGGCCAGCTGTTTCTCCTGAAATGCTTCATCATGCGTTTCTTCCATTGCAGTCGCATTGTCGTGCTGAGAACAGTTGGTGCCACACCTCCTGGTCAATGGCGAGGTTATAGCCTTGCTTGGTTTTGTACGTTGAGCAATGGAAGGAGGGAGGAAAGAGCAACGTGGAAGGGACCTCAGGCTTAGCGCCCCTGCCTGATTTCCAAAGAATACTTCTAAGGCCTTGAGGACGAGACCGTCATGCTTTAGGAATACGTAATTGTTTATACAAATAGAAAACTTCCTGCTCACAGAGACCCTCTTCACCATAATTTGTGCTAATGCCCAGGGCCCTCCACTCCCACCCCGAAAATGCTTCTGTGGTGGGCTTCTCTCAACTTCTGACCATCCATCACTGCCTCCCTTTGTTCTATTCCTGCTCCCATCAGCACCTAACACCTAGGATGCCCCTTCCAGTCTCAGCCTGCTAAGGTACCTTCTTCACCTCATTCACCAAGTGCCTGGAACCACTCCCCTCCAAGAAGCCCCCTAGAACACAATACAGAAAAAGGTCATAATCTCATCCTTCCTGGGCCAACGACAGAACTCCAAACTTCCTCATCTACTGCTTCACTAAAATCCCCACTATTTAAATGCATATAATTAGCTCCTTAAATTATATATTTGTAATTAGCTTAGTGTTTGCTGTGTCTCTGTATCAGTAATATGTAACATCATAAGCATTTTTCTAATCTTACCTCTCTGTATATCTCATAACATACAGTACCATGTGAAAAATGGATATTTAATAATTTCATCTTGATTTCATAGGCTAAACAGGAACTTTAAATTGCCCTGGAGTGAAAGCCACCACTTCATAAACAATAAAACAGCAACCTGAGGTGACAGAGGAAGGACTGGGCAGCTGCATTCTCCAAGTTTCTGTGAATGAACCTACTCCTACTCCCTGACCCTGGAAGCACCCTCCAAGCTGCTGGCTGGACACTTAGTGACAGGAATTCAGCGGAAAGGCTCTCAGTACCTCTCTTTCTGAATGCCTTGCATTGACTGATCCCACTACGCCTATTCCAACTTGACCTGTCATGTTATAAACTAAAAGTCTCTGACAGGGCTTGAGCACACCCCGATTGTCTACTTCTGTCGACCTTGCTTTGCGTTAGAATCAGTCAGTCTTCATTGTTAACAATGGAGCCTGGAGGAAAGTCTCTCCCTCTCAGGGCAAAACACCTACCTTCTTCTTGGTGGGATCACCAGGGTGCCCCTGAAAAAGGATTTGGAAAGTGTTAGTGTGTCATGGACCCGATCTGGAGGGGGTGTTCTCCTTAATGTTGTTACTTGGACAGTCATTTCCTTGTGTAGAAAATCAAGACATGTCCTATGTTACATAAAAGCATTTTGTATGCCATAGAGTTTCTATGTATAAGTTACTACATGTAGACATATTAGCAGAGTGTTTTTTGTTTTTTGGAATCAACATATACCATCTTATCATGACATCAAAAGTCCTCCATTTCACTCCATTAGCCAGTTACAACATCCATACACTCTGAATTTAATGAAACCATTGCTTTTGTAAATGCCTTTGGTCAACATAGTCACTACTCATTGCAAATGTTATAGATGGGACACGTAAGTGACATGCAGCATGTGAGGAAGCAGTTCTACAAGAAGAGACAATGGAAAAGAAGAGGAAAAAGAAGAGCAGAGATGGGGATGGGGACACATTACCAGCAAACAAACACAGTAGAAGAACGGGTGAGGAAACTGGGAACGCAGGCAGCAGGGTGGAGAAATAAGAACAACCCTCACTGAGTGTCATGAAGTTGACGAGCACTAAAATACTGCATGGTGCTGGTAACTTCCCATCAGGCTTGCAAGTAAGCACACTATTTTCCCAGCCCATGAAATGTTATGACCAGACAAGGGTGAGGTTACATAAGAAGACGAGATAGAGGTCAAGAATCCAGTCTTTTTCTGACTTTCAACTTATAAAACCTTAGAAAGAGTACATTAAAAGCAAGTTTTTAAAATAGAATTTAAAAGAATAAGTACACCTGTCTCATGTAGTTGTGTTTCTACAAAGAGATTTTCACAAAGACAGCCATACTTGCAATGTATATTTCAGTGTTTTTATTTTTCACTGGCAAATAAGGTAGAGGGAAGGTTTTAATTGTATACTTAATTAAGCCTTGCACCAGACAGGACTCAAACGCTTGGGAAAAGACAAATGTCTCCATGAAAGTGTAGTGAACAATCTCCTACATCCAGAGTCCATGTGTGGTAATATATTGGGCTGTCGGAAAAGTCATGACTATTTTTTCTGTTTTTCGTTACAAAAATGTGTCATGACTTTTCTGACAACCCAATAGAAAGTTTTAACTTACTAATATTCAGATAGGACATTACAATAGTTAAAAGTATAATTTTTTTCAGAAAGACACTTTAAGAATAACTGTGTAAGAAAGGGGCTGAACACTAGCCTGTATGCTAGATGAATTTTTAGAATATTTAACAGACCATCTATCATGATTTGTCTGTGGCTTGGCTCGCCAGTTCTTTCTGGGCTTCTACCACTTGACCATATATCCCGGCAGAGCTCAAGTTCCTGGAGAGTTTAACAATCCTCTTCTGCCAGCATGTCCATCTATCAGGGTTAGTGCTTGGATGTCAGAGTAAGTGTTGATGATACCCGGAAGATCTGGGGAAGCATGTTACTAAGTTGATAAAACATTTCTTCAGAAATACTCTGTAAGAGGTTAAAAAAAGTTTGTATTTGTTAAATTGTCATTGATGTTTCAAACAATTTTTAAATATTTTAAATTATGGCACTAGTTCTAGATATGGAGTGAGACATGTAAAAATTATCTTTCATGGCTGATTTAACTGCACAGCTATGGGCAGGAGTGTTTTCCTGCTCCGTCCTCTGAGAACCTATGTTGTTTCTGTCAAATAATAGGTTTGATTACCAGAAAAACCCCTGGATAACGCCAGGTTAATCAATAATAATAAAAGTACCACTAATTTTGCTAAGTTCTATACAGAAGACAGAATCATTCTCTACTAATGCCCTTATCTATGAACTCTTCAAAATCTATGTAACATAAATGTGAGAAAAACAAAGGAAGGATGAGTCAAGTTTGGTTTTGGAGTGAAATACAAGATCCTGAGTGGAGGTTCTGACATCTTTGACAATAAACTAAGTGCCTTTATGGTATCCAACACGTCTCCCGTTAAGAAAAAGGAAGCTGTTAGCATTTTTTAAATGTTATACTGAGTTTGGGGCAGTGTGCTCACTATATCTACAAGGAAGATTATAACAGAGATTAAGTTGGGGTGAGACCCACTGAGGTAACACACCTGTGGTACCAGAAATTGCACTGTCCTAGAAATTCCTCCATCCCACGAAGCCATTTCCATCATGAAACCTAAAACAGAACAACAGAACAATTGGTGAATTATGAGTTCTGGTCTTCAAACCTACCAATCCTTTACTGAAATAAACTGAATTTTCGTTGTGAGGCTTCATCTTGACTTTTTAGATAACCAGGCCTGCCTGTAGGATAGGTTTCTGCAACCCTCAATTCTCCACGCCAGAGAGGTTTAACACATTTTTGTCAACTCACTCTTACTTATAATTTCCCAAGTCCTATTTAGTCTCCACACAACAAAGCCAAAACAGGTTATTAAAGTCTAATTAAACATGTGGCTCGTTTTTTTTTCTTTTTAAGAAAGTAAAAGGCAATAGAGAACAAGCTATAATCAGAGCAAAATATAAATAACGTCCAAATATCCTGTATGTCAAGAGGGCTGGATATTTATTTTGCGACTATAAAAGGTAAGTAAAGAAGCCTGTTATGAATTATTTCCTTATTAAACCATTTAACTGAGGCATCAGGTAGCAGAGGTGACTTTCACATTCTTTCTCCTGGGTTGCTCTACTTTCAATATTTAGGAGGAAGACAAATAGGTCGTTGTTAAACATAAGGTTATGCTCACCTTTGACACACTTAAACACAAGCTCTGCTCTCCTTAAGCACCACGGGATAGTCATTTCCTAAAAGCAGAAACAAAATAAATGTTGTCTTTAATAGAACTTAAAAAAAAAAA